ATAAAGGTAGGGCACTTAGGAGAGGTTGTGATGGTAGGAGTTAAGGAGAGAGCACTAATTAGGTCAGATTAGGTCCGAGTAATCTGAAAAACAGATGAGAGGTTAGCAGATGGTTCAGTGGCCCTTTCTAACCCCAGTGTTAATTTCCTTTATTTTAAACAGGTGTGTTATCATACTATACTAGTTGGTACAATACTGCCACCTATAGAGCAACAGTGAAACTTATTATAATGTTATAATGCATGGATTTTCATGTCATGCTATTTAAAAATATAGTAAAACCTCGATTCATTCGGGCAAGGGGGTATCTGTTAAAGCTGCAAGTCCATTACATAATAAAGTACGTTTTCTGAATATGTATGATAAGAGATTGACAAATTAGTTTTTCCTTATGTAGACACTTTGTCTAATTAAAAATAAGCATGAAAAGTTTAATTTCACAGAAAAGTTTTCCATATGCATCACAGTAATTTACATTTAAGCTGAATAAGTCTAGTGAAAGTGTGCATTCATCAGTCACTGTGAGTAAACAAATACACACTCTTGCAGCATGGCTTAGTGCCCCTGGGAACATAGGCTGAAATGTGATAAAACTGCTGTAGAAAGTCACACCATGGGACAACAGAACCAATTACCATGTGCAATTCGATGTAATCACGTGCTAATCATTTGCTGAACATTGTCTTCCTGGTGTTAAATTGTATGAGTTGTTTGCATATTGTGGAAATTAATTCCTTATCAGATGTGTCATTGGCAAATATGTCTTCCATACTTTGGGTTCCCTTTTCATTTTGATGGTTTCTTTTGCTATGCAGATGCTTTTTAGCTTGATGTATTCCCATTTGTTTATTTTTTCCTTTGTTTCTTTTGCCCTAGGAGATGTATGAGTGAAAATTCTGCTATGTAAGACATCTAAGATTTCACTGCCTATGTTTTCTTTTAGGATTTTTATGGTTTCGTGACTTACATTTGAGTCTTTTATCCATTTTGAGTTTAGTCTTTGTGTAAGTTGGTGGTCTAGTTTCATCTTTTTTGCATGTATTTGTCCAATTTTCCCAACACCATTTATGCAGAGACTGTCTTTACTCCATCGTGTGCTCTTGCCTTCTTTGTCAAATATTAATTGAACATATTCGCATGGGTCGAATTCTGGGGTCTCTGTTCTGTTGCATTGATCTACTGTATATGCCTATTCTCGCATCAGTACCAGGCTCTTTTTATTACAGTGGCTTTGTAGTATACAGTAGGGCCTTGACTTACGAGTGTCCCGACTAACGAGTTTTTTGAGATTCGAGCCGTCTCTCAGCCGATTTTTTTGCTTTGAGTTGCGAGCTAAAATTCGGGTTATGAGCCAGCTTCAGATACCCCACCGCTAGTTGGCGCAGTGAACATCACAGTGAACGCCACAACATCAGCCCAGCATCACGTGTCTCACTCGTTCACTGTTGATTTGACTTACGAGTAATTTGAGTTATGAGCTCCGTCACAGAACAAATTAAACTCGTAAGTCAAGGCCCCACTGTAGTTTGATGTCTTATATTGTGATCCCTCCAACTTTGTTCTTTCTCAAGATTGCTGAGGCTATTCGGGGTCTTTTTTGATTCCATATACCTTTTTGGAATATTTGTTCTAGATCTGTGAAATATGCCGTTGGTATTTTAATGGTATTGAATTGAATGCATAGATTGTTTTTGGTATTATGATATTTTATTTTTTTTTATTTTTTTAATATATTTTACGATGAGAGAGAAACATCGATCAGCTGCCTCCTACACGCGCCCTACCGGGGATGTGCCCGCAACCAAGGTACATGCCCTTGACTGGAATCGAACCTGGGACCTTTCAGTCCACAGGTCAACGCTCTATCCACTGTGCCAAACCGGTTCTGGCTGGTATTATGATATTTTAATGATACTAATTCTTCCAGTACATGAACAAGGTATATGTTTCCACTTATTTGTATCTTCCTCTCTTCCCTTTTTCAGTGTCCTATAGTTTTCTGAGTATAGGTCTCTTACCTCCTGGGTTAAGTTTCTTCCCAGGTATCTTATTATTTTGTTGCAGTGGTAAATTGTTTTTTTTTTTTCTTAGTTTCTCTTCCTGACAGTTCATTATTGGTGTATAAAAATGCCATTGATTTCTGGATATTAATTTCGTATCCTGATACTTTGCCAAATTCATTTATTAAATCTACTAGTTTTTTGTTTGGTGGAGTCTTTAGGATTTTCTATCTATAATATCATGTCATCTGCAAATAATGACTGTTTTACTCTTGCCTTTCTGATTTGGATGCCTTTTATTTTTCCTTCTTGTCTGATTGTTGGGGCTAGGACTTCCAGTACTATGTGGAATAAGAATGGTGAAAGTGGACATCCCTGTTTTGTTCCTGATCTTAAAGGAAACGTTTTGAATTTTTGCCCATTGAGTATGATATTGGCTGTAGGTTTGCAATATATGGCTTTTTTATGTTGAGGTATGACCCCTCTATTCCCACTTTGCTGAGAGTTTTTATCATAAATGGGTGTTGACTTTGTCGAATGCTTTTTCTGCATCTATTGATATGATCATGTGATTTTTATCCTTCATTTGGTTTATGTGATGTATCATGTTTATTGATTTGTGAATATTGTACCAGCCTTGCATCTCCAGAATAAATTCCACTTGGTCATGGTGTATGATCTTTTTAATGTATTGCTAGATCTGATTTGTTAATATTTGGTTGAGGATTTTAGCATCTATGTTCATCAGGGATATTGGGTTGTTATTTTCTTTCTTTGTAGTACAGTATCTTTATCTAGTTTTAGAATTAGGATAATGCTGGCCTTGTTAAAAGAGCTTAAATTCCCTCCTCTTGAATTTTTTGTAATAGTTTGAGGAGGATAGGTATTAGTTCTCCTTTGAATGTTTGGTAAAACTTGCCGGTGAAGCCATCTGATCCAAGACTTTTGTTTGCTGCGAGTGTTTTGATTACTGCTTCAATTTCATTAGTTGTCATTGGCCTATTCTGGTTTTCAGATTCTTCCTGATCGAGTTTTGGAAGATTGTGTGTTTCTAGGAATTTGTCCACTTGATCCAGGTTGTTCAGTTTGTTGGCATATGATTGTTCATAGTATTTCTGTGATGTCAGTTGTTACTTCTGATTTTATTGACTTGGATCTTTTCTATTTGTTTCTGTTTTTTCTTTATTGATTAAGGTATTGCAAATGTGTCCTTATCCCCCCATTGTCTCCCACCCCCCTAGTCCTGCCCTCACCCTCACCCCCTGTTGTCTGCGTCCATCGCTTATGCTTATATGCATGCATACAAGTCCTTTGGTTGATCTCTCCCCCTTACCCCCACCCTCCCGTACCTTTCCTCTGAAGTTTGAGCATCTGATTGATGCTTCTCTGTCTCTAAATCTGTTTTTGTTCCTCGGTTTATGTTGTGCATTATATTCCATAAATATTCCATAAATGAGTGAGATCATGTGATATTTATCTTTCTCTGACTGACTTATTTCACTTAGTATAATGCTCTTTGTAATGGGGCGACCCGCAGAGGCGACCACCAGGGACTCAGATCAAGATTTAGGAGCCTTTATTAAGCTGGCCAGTGACTACAGTTACAGCACCCTGCCGAAGCAGAGGCTGAACTGCAGTGCCGACTACAGGAGTTACATTTTTTTATTAAATTCGGTGCAGGCCCAGAGAAATATGTGTCTTTTAAGTTCTGGGCCCCCAATATGGAGGAAACTCTCTTTATTTATCCTTTTTCCAGTCCTTTGTCTCTCAAATTTGGAATGAGACTTCCGGGCCTTCTGAGAAAGAAGGCCTGCGTGCTGGGAAGGCCTGGCAACTGTCTGGGTGTCAGCACTGACAGCTCTGTCTGGGGCATAGTTTACGGCCTCTCTGGAATGGGAGTTGTCTTATTTTCCTTATTGTTTAAGACAGAAGCCATACTATCAGGGTTAAAGTTTCCAACAGCAGTATTTATATAAGATGGATACTTCACTCTTCAGTTCCATCCATGCTGTTGCAAATGGTAAGAACTCCTTCTTTTTTTACAGCAGCATAGTATTCCATTGTGTAGATGTGCCCAAGTTTTTTAATCCACTCATCTGATGGACACTTGGGCTGATTCCAAATCTTAGCTATGGTAAAGTGTGCTGCTATGAACATAGGGAGGCATATATCCTTTCTGATTGGTGTTTCTAGTTTCTTGGGATATATTCCTAGAAGTGGGATAAGCCTGGCTAAAGGTTCATCAATCTTGTTTATATTTTCAAAAAACAAGCTCTTGGTTTCATTGACCTTTTGTATTATTATTATTATTAGTTTTTAGTCTGTATGTCATTTATCTCCACTCTGATCTTTATAATTTCTTTTCTTCTATTTACTCTGGGATTTTCTTGTTATTGTCTTTCTGATTCTTTTAGATTTAGGGTTAGATCATTCATTTGAGCTTTTCCTTATTTCTTGATGTAGGCTTGTAATGCTATAAACTTCCCTCTCAGGACTGCTTTTGCTGTGTCCCTTAGATTTGGGGTTGTGTGACACAGCGATCGTTTTTATTTAATGAAAATTATAAAAATATTAATTGATTCTTATTAATGACTTTACTTATAATTATATATAGTTATGTATTTGTATAAAGTACATACTTACACAGCTTTTTACCTTAAGAAGTCACTATATGATTACTAAATGCTTTATAGTAAGTTCATTTTTGGTAATAAACCTGATTTTTTTCAGTCTGTCAGTTTACCTGGTGGAAACAAAGATACATATTTGACATTGTTTGACATTTGTACGTAGTTGGTTGCAAATATGTTCTGTTCATTCCCTTTAAGAGTTCATGTAAAAGTAATATTTGTTATTTCTTCCTCAGGTTTTAAAAACAGAATAACAAATTGAGAGCATAGGACATACATGTTATCATTATTTGAATTATGGCATTCTTTATAGGAAGATTAGTTGTATTCATTTTGACAACATTTTATAAAATACTTTCATTTTCTCTAGGTGGTTGGTTCTAGCTATTACCATGGTGCGTTTTTATATGGAAAAAGGAACACACAAAGGTTTATATAAAAGTATTCAGAAGACACTTAAATTTTTCCAGACATTTGCCTTGCTTGAGGTAAGTTTTCAATGATTCTATTTTTTGTCATTGTAATATTTATTTGAAAATATATTTGTTAGCAAAAGCAATTTTGCTGATTACATACCACTTACAGATTCATTTAAAATCAATGTCAACTAGGATTTATTTTATGTTGTATGGTACTGACTTGTGATTTTTTTTTATTTGCTTACAGATAGTCCACTGTTTAATTGGTGAGTTTTTTATTTAATTTTTTATTTGGTATAAATTACCTTGAAGACAATGGTTGACTTGTTTTTTTCTTTAAGGAATTGTACCTACTTCTGTGCTTGTGGCTGGGGTCCAAGTCAGTTCCAGAATCTTTATGGTGTGGCTCATTACTCATAGCATAAAACCAGTAAGTGACACGAACATGTTCTCTACTTGAGCCTGCAAGACAGCTCTTTTATTAATAGGAATCTAAAATATTAGTACTGGTATATTTCAGGAAGCAGAATCATTGGAAAAAGAAAGCTTGGGTTTTGATTTAAGTGTGTTTGTCCATTGACTCAACGAATTAGTAGAATAACTTTGAAACACAAGCAAAACCAAATATTAGCATTTTATACTCATAATATACTCTCTGGTGTGTTCCAGTTTTTAAAATTAATATTACTATTCTGTCAAATGCTTAACTGAAAATTCTCTACTGAAGTTATGTATATTGTCTTTGTTTATGTAATTTGAACTTGTCAGTGTAAACCATTTATGTTTCCTCATTTAGCATTGAGTGTAGCAACACACATAAAAGTAAATGTAGTTCTGGAGATATGAACAAATATCAAAGACAAAAAGTTAGAAGGGTTAAGGAACTTAGGGAAAACAAGCACGTTATATATTGAGGCATGACAGGAGAGGGACCCGGATCTAGTTAATGGCTTAAACCCTTTTAGACAAACAAACACGTGCTTACTATGTCAAGACATTGGGCCTTTTAAACCCATGACAAACATTTCCCAGATGGGCCCTTCTGACCTTCTTGACAGCCTCTGGAGTCTCCTGTCTACTTGAGGACAGATCTCTGGCCTCCTTTCCATTCCTCAGATGCCTTTCTCTACTTGGGATGATACTTAACCTCCCTTCCATTGCCTGCAGGACTCACTGCCTCCCCCCTCCCCCCCCCGTCTGCATGGGGACAGATTGTTGACCTTCTGCCCTTTTATTACTCTACACTCCAGCCCTCTTGACCAGTATCTTTCACTCAACTTACTCCATCCATCTGGTCCCTAACCAGTGACTGCCATACAGAGAGCAATGAGTGCGTGCCACATGGAGAGCCAGACTTTTAATTCAGATTGCCGCGTAGTTTAAAAGCAGGGGTCGGACATTAACAGAATAAAAGAGAGACTATTCTGGACAGGGAATGAATATAACAGCTGGGCCAGGACCACAAAGAGTCTGAAGACTGAGAAAGAAGAAAGAAAAGACAGGGTGGCCAACATTAACTGGAGAAAAGAATTTGAGGACAAGTAAAGGTGGCTAGTCCCCAAAGAGAAAAAAGATCCATCTGCTTGCTCTTTTTTTTTTAATCCTCCAGAGGATCTCTACCTTAATAGTACTATTTAATTTTGTCCAACTCTTCAATTAATTCAACCAACATTTATCGAGTGCATTCTATACACCTGGCACTGTGTTAATTTCTGGATTTACAATGAATAAGGCAGTCCCAGCCAACATGCTGGGGATCTGGCTATTAGTAATGCAAATAGAGTTCCTGCCTCACAGAGCCTGTGATTGGGATAGATACGGGCACTAGACTAGTTGTTGCACAAATAATTCTTTCATTATATTAACATTAGTGCTTTGAACCAAGAGACCAGCATGCATGGCAATATACTTCGGGACTTAGCCTGACCTAGGGAGTGAAGGAAGGCTCCCTGAGGAAAGAATGTATAAGTTGACTATTGATAGGGATACAAGAGTCAGGCAGACAAATTTTAGTACAAAATTGGCAAGTGTTATAATACAGATATGAACAAAATACTGTGAGAACAAGGAAAGTGAGCAAATAACTGCTCAGGGTGAAAGGAATTGTTTGGGAAAAGTTTTCCAGAGGGTGTGATATTTTAGCTGGATCTTAAAATATGAGATGAGAAGGGGTTTTCTAGGGATTAGCATTCTAGTTAGAGGGAATAGCATGTGTTAAGGCATAAGTGTTAGGAGCATGTTCTGGAAAGAATACCAAATTTAGTGTTACCAGAGAGAGGTGTTGGGGATTTGGGGTAGGAGTTTGGGGTGGGGTTGGATCAAATGTTTGCAGATGAAGTTAGAGAGATTTCCGAGCTCAGATTATAAAGAACCTTGAACTTCATGCTCAGGTGGTAGGATTGTATCCTTTCCTCTTAAATAGTGGGAAACCAATGAGACTCAAATCTCAGGACTAGCTGCCTCCAATTTTGTTTGTTTGCTTCTTTGTTTTGCTTTTAAGAGAAAACTTTCACCCATGAAGAGAATAAAGCAGTGGAGAGATTTGTCAGGAGGCTGTCCCGATAGTCTGGATGAGAGATGATAAGGCCCTGGTAGCAGGGCCAGAGATGAGTGGGCAGATTCAAGAGTTCGTGCTACAGTAGAATGGGTCTGATGTGATGACTAATAGGAAGCCGGAGGGTTAGATTGTTCCCATGCTGTTTTGAGGGGGCGATGTTGCCCTGAGATAGCTGAGTTATTGGCTGGAGTGAATTGTGAGAGAGAATCCAGTACAAAGGTGACCATTCCTGTGCTGAGGACACACTGAAGTTGTGTGTTTATAATGAATTACGTGGTGGTGACTGCATTAGTTTTCTGTATTACATCTGTCTGACCCTACCATTCCATTATAATAAAAGACACACCGTAAATAATTAAGATACAATATCTTCATGGAGAAAAAAGCTCAAGCTCCAACAACACTGTGGATTTCCCTGTCATTCTGCAGATCCAGAATGAGGAGAGTGTGGTGCTGTTTCTGGTCGCGTGGACTGTGACAGAGATTACTCGCTATTCCTTCTACACATTCAGCCTTCTCAACCACTTGCCATACTTCATTAAGTGGGCCAGGTGGCGATGCCTTGTGGTTTAGTCTCTCACAGTCCTGTGCATGCGTATGTTGTTGCTGAGCTAACACCAGAGAATTAAAATTTGTGTTTCAGCCTTGTCATGCCAGGGTGCTGTTGTTCTGCATACTTAGCAAAACATTATAAGCTGCATTATAAAGGCTTAAATTAATGATCAGAGAGAAATAATCTATATTTTTAGGAAATCAATATAAGACAAATTATATTAGTACCCTTAACCTCTAAACGGGTCATTCGTTTTTCTTTAAAAGCAAAATATACATTTTGGAAATTATATTAGGTAAACAGTGTGCCCAAAACACGGCATTTTGTCTGATTGATTTAAATTATTTTAATATTGAATGTAGTAGCCACAATTTTTAGTATCTTCTACATACAATGTCAATTTTTTGTACGTATAAAATACTAAGTGACAAACATTTAAAAAATCACACTTATTTGAAATTGTATTATTTGGACTGGGAACAAAATTTATATTTCAAAGGTTCTAAATACAATAATTTTTAAAGCAAAAGATTTTTTCTTTTTAAAGGTAGAATTCTTTGAGCAGCTGATATTTTACAAAAATTATTATAAAAACAAGATTGTTCTTTGGAGGACAAACCGCAAAGCATAGGTTTGTTCATTTCATTTTCTGATGTGCTTATAGTGGCAATCACATCAATAACAACTTAATGTGCTCTGCGCCAACTGCATAGTTGAAATGCAGGCATGAGCACAACAAAATCCCTGCCCACTGAAGATGGAGGAGGCAAAAAACTATCCCACTAATAGCTCTGTGAAATGCCAGGGGGTAAGAAGTTCAAGGAGGCACAGGCTAAGAGATGTGCATCTCGTATACGTCTGTCCCATGTGGGTAGGATAAAAGGGTTTCACAGCATTTCCATTTCTTTACATTTGTCTGTTAAACTACAGAAATAATATGTTTTCTTTGTAAAAGGCTCAAATACCACAGAAGTTTGTAGAATAAACAGAAAGTTTCTCTTTGTGCTCTTACCTGACCCACTTCCTACTCCTTGGAGGGAAAAAGTGTGGCCTTTACCCACCCAGACTTTTTCATATTCTCAAAAATGTGAACACAGTGTGAGTTTTTAAAAACATAAATAGGATCACATTATACTTGTTTTTTGTTTAAAGTTGGAGATCTCTCTTTTTTTTTTAAATCACTATAGGTATATTTAGATTTAGCTCTTTAACTCTTTAATATTCCAGAGTATGACGGACCCAGTTTGGTATTGCTAGAATTTAGGTCATTTTCAATTTTCAAATATTATAAATACGGCATCTCAAATAATGCTATATCCATATTTCTGATGTTTGTTAAAGCTCTGATATTTATACTCAAACATTCCTAACTTGTTTGAAGGTAATCTGTAAGCTGGTGTCAGGTTTGTTTTGGATAATCCCTATTGTGTTATATAATTTTTTAAATTTTTTAAAAATTTTATAGTTCTTTTTCAACATTTTTGGTTTGCCATTTTGTGTGTAATAAAATTCTTTAAAATTATAATTTTAGCTTCAACATACTGTCTGTCTTAAGAAAGTTGCATTACCATTTATATGTGCTTGGTTGGTTTTTATTCCTGTGGTGTCTGAATAAAACACACCCACTGTCGGTGATCGGGCCCATCATAATGTTGGCGGTGTGAAAGCTGTACCTAATCCAGAATGCTTGTGGGTGCCATTTTGCATGACCTCAGTCTTTCCGTCCCTCTAACGCCTTTAAAAATGTAAATTCATGACATAGTCTTTTAAAATTTGCTTTTATTTATAACATTTGTGGAAGATGGTGGTCTTGAATGCTTTGTGTGTTTGCCTTTTGGGATGCATTTGCATGTTTTGAATTTCTGGAAAAGCTCACAGTTCTGCCATAGCATTTAAAATTTGCTCTTCAGAAATCCTTTGTCAATTGCCTTGATGTTAAATAAGGTACTGTAAAATCTTTCAAGTTTGAAATGCACATGTTAGCATAATACATCATGTCAGTTCATGATAATTATTATACTTCGTGTCAAAAATTGTAAAGATACCAACTGTCTATATATATTTATTTGCCAACCCCCTTAAGGAACCTAAAATCATATTTGTACTTATGTTCAAATATTGAAGATATTGTTCTCAAATAAAGTTTCACTTTAGAAATGCCTTTTTATTTATAACTAGTTAGCCTACTGTGACAGTCTGAATACAACTGGATCCTATTTGTGTTAGAGGTATTCTTAGAAAGCCCACCAAACAGATCATTGTATATTATTGTTTTCATTTTAATTTCCAGTTTAACTTAAAAAATACATTCCCTTCAAAAATTTTTAGGTGAAAATTAGGAATCTTTAAGGAACATTATATCTTTTTCTGAATGGTAGTTAAATCATACAGCCATCAGAACTTAGAGAGTGATGATGTAATCTTTTTAAAATACAAATAAAGTCAAATAAATTATACAACTTATTCCCATTTTATTAAAAATAATCACTCTTTAAGGCTTTAAACGAGTTTATCATAGGAGTGATTTTTTTTCTATTAAA